TGAAACCCTGTCTCTACAAAAAATACAAAAATTAGCTGAGCGTGGTGGTTGTGCACCTGTAATCCCAGCTACTCGAAAGGCTGAGGCAGGAGAATCTCTTGAACCCGGGAGGCGGAGGTTGCAGTGAGCCCAGCCATTGCACTCCAGCCTGGGTGACAGAGCAAGACTCCATCTCCAAAAACGAAATAAATAAAATTAAAATAAAGGGCAATGGGACCCAGCAGGATTTGAAGCAGGAGTGGGGAGCATCGGGTTATGCTAGGGAGGACAATTCACGAGTGAAGGTGAAACCCGATTACTCCATCTCCCTCCTACCCCAACCTGCGGTGCTGGACAACTGTGTGGGGCAAAATCGGAGGCCAGCTGGGCTTTCCCCCTGCGCACCTAGGTAGCCACGGTCTCTGCTGCCCCCTCGCGGCTGCTTCTTGCCTCGTAGGCCCTGATCCTTAGGATTCAGTTTGCCCAGAGCGCCAACTAGACGTGATTCTAGAGGTTGGGTGGTCAGACACTGTGACCCCGGGCGCTGTGCCTGCGCTCCGGGAAGGGGAAGCAGCGCGTGGGCCTCGTATCGGGGGCGAGGCCAGGACCCGCTGACCCACGCCTCCCGCCACGGTCAGAGCCCAAGTTTGTCAAGGTATTTTGGATCCCGGAGAATGAGAACCCAGATGACGACAAAATCTACTTCTTCTTTCGTGAGACGGCGGTGGAGACGGCGCCAGCAATGGGACGCCTGTTGGTGTCCCGCGTTGGCCAGATCTGCCGGGTGAGGAGGCCCTGGCCACACCCCGCGGCCCTGTTCCTACCTCTTCGCCCGCCCTGGTCTTGCTCTCATCCCCTCTGGTCGTCCGGCAGAACGACGTAGGCGGCCAGCGCAGTCTGGTCAACAAGTGGACAACATTCCTGAAGGCGCGGCTGGTGTGCTCGGTGCCCGGCGTCGAGGGCGACACCCACTTCGATCAGCTCCGTGAGTGCGGGAGGTGGGAATGGGGTTGGGGAGGGGGGCAGCGGCGCAGACTCCGGGAGCCCCCGCCGCAGCAGGGCTGTGCGCCCTGCCCCAGCTAGGCCCCTTCCCCGCAGAGGATGTGTTTCTGCTGTCCTCCCGGGACCACCGGACCCAGCTGCTCTATGCCGTCTTCTCCACGTCCAGGTGAGGGGCGGGAGTAAAAAGCGGCCGGGGCAGGCCTGGGCTCCACCCGGCCCCTCACCCACCCTGTTCTTCGCCTACAGCAGCATCTTTCAGGGCTCTGCGGTGTGCGTGTACAGCATGAACGACGTGCGCCGGGCCTTCCTGGGACCCTTTGCACATAAGGAGGGGCCCATACACCAGTGGGTGTCATACCAGGGTCGCGTCCCCTACCCGCGGCCAGGAATGGTGTGTAGGCCAGGGACTTTTGCCACAACCCACTTCACGACCCCTTCAAAGCCTCAAGGGTTTGAGAACTTGGCCCAGGGTCTTCTTGGTGAATGTGGTTTCTTCCTTTAGTTATGAGTGAGAAAAGATTTTCATCATAAAACAAGGCTTGTTTCCCCACCTCTGACTTCCCAGGGCAAGGCTGTATCCCGTCTTTCAAATTCCCAGGGCAGGGTCTGTCCCCATCCCCCTCCATGTTCCCAGAGGCTTGGCATGGAAGGCTGCTCATGAAGCCCCCATATCTATATCCCTGCTGTGCCTCCTTTCCCCCCACCCCCAGTGCCCCAGCAAGACCTTTGGCACCTTCAGTTCCACCAAGGACTTCCCAGATGATGTCATCCATTTTGCGAGGAACCACCCCCTCATGTACAACTCTGTCCTGCCCATTGGGGGGCGCCCTCTTTTCCTACAAGTTGGAGCAAATTACACCTTCACTCAAATTGCCGCGGACCGGGTTGCAGCCGCTGACGGACACTATGACGTCCTCTTCATTGGCACAGGTCAGGGCCCGTCCACAGCGACCCCCAGGCTCCCATCCAGGCCCTGTGGCCTGCTGGTGGAAGCTCTCCCTGTTCAGTCCCATTTTCACATCCCTTCCTGGGCTATGTCTCCACCTTCTGGATGCTGCCCAACCCGGTCCACACTTGACAACCCAAACGTGCTGAGGGTAGACACCTAAAAGGCGAGGAGATGGCTCCCCAGCTGTCCGGCAGCACCAATTGTCATTATGCCTTCTCATCCCTGCAGACGCTGGCACGGTGCTGAAGGTGATATCGGTCCCCAAGGGCAGCAGGCCCAGTGCAGAGGGGCTGCTCCTGGAGGAGCTGCACGTGTTTGAGGTGAGGCCTCGCCCCCAGTCGCCCGGGACACCCCCCACCACCACCACTAAGCCCTGACCCCGTCGCCCCTCCTCCCTCTCAGGACTCGAGCGCTGTCACCAGCATGCAAATCTCCTCCAAGAGGGTGAGTGACCAGAAGGATGAGGGTGCGGGTGGAATGGACTGAGCTTGTTTGTGCCTGGCACGTCCCAAGCCTCTGGCCCCTCTTGGTAGTTTGCAATTCTGGGTTTGAGTACAGGCTCTGCCTTTGCTAGACTGTATGACCTGAGGTGTAAGACCTCAGTGTTCCCATCTGGCGAGTGGGAGAAGGGATCCCTGACCTATGGGAGGCAGGCGGGGGGCCGCCCTCGGTCGGCCCAGAACCCCTCGTGCCCCCCTAGCACCAGCTGTACGTAGCCTCGCGGAGGGCGGTGGCCCAGATCGCGTTGCACCGCTGCACTGCCCACGGCCGCGCCTGCGCTGAATGCTGTCTGGCGCGTGACCCCTACTGCGCCTGGGACGGGGTCGCGTGCACCCGCTTCCAGCCCAGTACCAAGAGGTGGGCGGGGTTGGGATTGGGCCGTCGGGAGGGAGGCGAAGGGTCTTTCACTGCCCAGGGCTGAAAGAAGAAGGGCTCACGGAGGGTCCAATGTTCCTCTCAGGCGGTTCCGGCGGCAAGACGTAAGGAATGGTGACCCCAGTACGCTGTGCTCAGGAGGTGGGTCCCCCAGCTGCCCCCCCTCAGCCCCAGAAAACGTCCCACCTTCCCCGCTTTGCCTAAATCTGGCGTTGTTTTCGCCCCAAGACTTTTCTCGTCCCGCACTGCTGGAACACAAGGTGTTCGGGGTGGAGGGCAGCAGCGCCTTTCTGGAGTGTGAGCCCCGTTCGCTGCAAGCGCGCGTCGAGTGGACTTTCCAGCGCTCAGGGGTGACAGCCCACACCCAGGTGAGTTTTGCTCCACGCTCCCCACCAGGCTCCTGGCTCACCCGCTGCATCCAGGAGATGCCTCACCCTGCTCAAGGAGGCCACCCAACCAGACTCCCTCCCCTCCCCGCCCAGTTTGTGCCCTCACCTGCACTCTACAAGCTGCGGAGGCTCCATTGGGTCCAACCAGGCTCCTGACCCGCCTCCCCTGGATCCGGGAGAAGACCTGCCCTCCACCACCTATTGAGGTCCCTGACCCCACGTTCCTGTAAACCCCGCCTCGTTTGTATCCTCCTTGGAAGACCATCAGCTTCCAAACACTCAACCTTCAAATGTGCACCCGCGGGCACCCCTTTCCCGCTCCCCCTCGGCTCCAATGACCCTTTGCTTCTTCCCTCGGGTGCTAGGGGCCCGACGCCCCCGCCTCACGCTACCCCCCGCCCGCAGGTGCTGACAGAGGAGCGCACCGAGCGCACCACCCGGGGGCTACTGCTGCGCAGGCTCCGGCGCCGAGACTCGGGCGTGTACCTGTGCGCCGCGGTCGAGCAGGGCTTTTCGCAGCCGCTCCGTCGCCTGTCGCTGCACGTGTTGAGTGCTACGCAGGCCGAACGGCTGGCGCGGGCCGAGGAGGCTACGCCCGCCGCGCCGCCGAGCCCCAAACTCTGGTACCGGGACTTTCTACAGCTGGTGGAGCCGGGCGGCGGTGGCAGCGCGAACTCCTTGCGCATGTGCAGCCCGCAGCTTGCGCAGCACTCATTGCCCGCGGAGTCGCGGAGGAATAAAGGCCGCAACCGAAGGATGCACGCTTCTGAGCCACGCGCTGAGCGGGGACCGCGCAGCGCAACGCACTGGTGATTGGGCTGTCCCCACGCCAGGGACCAAGCAGGAGACTACCGGCGGGAGAGGAGGCAGATAGACCCTGAAAAGACGGACGGGTTGGGCCGGGCACGTTGTGGGTCCCCGGCTAACATAGACACCAACCAACAGGCTCTGGCTGAGGGCAGCTGCGCGGGCTTATTTATTAACAGGATAACTCTTGAATGTAGTAGCTCCGGGAAGGGCGGGACACGCCGGGCGCAGGATTCTGCCGGGAGGGAAGGGATGGGGAAGCCGGGCTCCAGAGCAACAACCAGGGCCGAGGAGGAGCCTGGAGTGCCCACCCTGGGGGACAGACCCCACCTTCTTGGGTAGTGAGCAGTGAGCAGAAAGCTGTGAACAGGTTGGGCTGTTGGAGGTGGAGCGAGGCAGGCCGACTGTACTAAAGTAACGCAATAAACGCATTATCAGCCAAAGCTGGAATGGCCCCAGCAGACAACCCCAGTCCTAGGCCTTGCTATGTGGTCTTAGGCCCCTTCGTATCTGTGTCAGGGCCTGAGTGTCTCCTGTCCAAGATTGCCTGATGAGGATGAAAGGCGGTTCCACGTGACTGAACAGGTTCTGTAGGGCCTTTGGGAATACTGACACTCAGGGTACATTATATATGTGCATAGTATGGCTTCAGGGCTGAGTTCTAGGAAGAAAATAAAACTGGGTGATGTGGAGAAGCATGTGAGCAGAAGGCCTCACTGAAGGGGTGACATTTGAGCTCCATGACAAGAAGGAGCCAGCCGCAGACTATCTGGGGGCGGAGCATTCCAGAAGGGAACGGCCACTGCCAAGGCCCTGAGGTGGGAACAAGCTTGCCGACTTTGAGGAACATCAGGGAGGCCAGTGTGTGACAGGTTTGGAGTGTGTGGGAAGTAGAGCCCACAGTCTTGCTTTGCCCCCATTGGGAAGAAGGGCCACAGGGATCCAACCACAGGGAAGGCTGGAAGCTGGACCACCTTCCTGCTTTGAGGTAAGCAGTGATACGCATCCTCACACGACCTTCTGGAACCTTCTACCCTTGTAGAGATGGGAGCGGGGGAGGACCAAAACCGTGCATTGTGCTACACGCTCTAGATGTGGTTCTCAGTGTACACTGCCAGGGAGGAGCCATTGTTATTCTCACTTCACACAGCAAACTGAGTTCAGAGAGGGAGATCCTTTACTTAAGGTTGTAAGCTTAGTAACAGATGAACCAGCCTCCAGCCTAGGTCCCCCCACTGGCCAGCATGGGTGCTGTGTGTCTATCTGCCCACTTGTGAGGCTATCAGAGCCCTCATGGCATCAGGCTCCAGTTGTCCATCACCCTCTATATAAGACACACACAGTAGTACTGTGTGCTAGCAAGTCACACAGTGGAGGCTGTCTCGTGTTTGCTGAGAGGAGAGATGACTGGGCTATGGGTAAGGGTCTGCAGGGTGGAGGGGTGGCTGAGTAGAGATGCACAGGGGTCCCTTGTATGTCTTGTCTGACACATGGGGCCTTGCTGAGCCTGGGGGCTCATTCTGGGTTTATGGGGGAGGTGTGGGTCACCTTGAAGGTCCCTGGGCACCTGGACTAGTGGAGGCAGGCTCCTGTCTGGCTCCCTCTCCAGGTAGATAGTCTAGGCAGGCCCACGTGGATCACTCTGCCCCTTCCCATGGCTGAGGGCTGCCCCCTCTAAATATAGCCCTTTGGGCTGAGCTCAGGACTATTTTAGGCCAAGGCTGGGAGGCAGCCAGGCTTTCCCCGGGCTCTCAGAGGAGCCACTGCTGTCTTTGTCCAGTCCTGCTACTGGATGCCATCATCGGCCTCTGACTGCCCACTGCTTGCCATGCCTGAGGAGACCCAAGAAGGTAGGAGAGAGTGACCATGAGGGAGGGCAAGGACTCAGTCCTGTGACTTTGTGGACCATGGAGAGACCCACCTTCCACCCCACTGACCTCACTGTCTTGAGTAGTTACCTGTTTTCATGCTCCAGCTCCAGTAAAGGAACCTGCTCCCTGTGCAGGGAGGAAAAGACTGCCATGTCTGGAACCCCTTGCCACCTCAGGCCCTGCTTCAGTTTCCCCTGCTGGGGACATCAAGGAGGATGGGGAAAGCTACCCAGTTAGGAGTGGGTCGGCTACTGGCTACGCTGAAGTGGGTGTGGGCATCCAGTTCGGCTCTTAAGGGAGGAAGCTGGGATGGGGATTGGGCAATAGTTCCAGAAAGCATTTGGGCACCTGTCCCAGGGACTAGGAAACAGATAGGCCTCTGGCCTCCCCTGATTTGGGTCTAAATATCCCCAACTGGCTGGGGCTGGGGGTCCCTTGTCCTGGTTAGACTGAGACTTAGCTAGTCAAGAGCTTGGTGGCTACTCACCTAACTGCTCTTCTGCCTATATATAAGAAGTACCGATGCTGAGGGGCCAGGGCAGCAGGAATCAAGGAAGCTACAGGTCCACTGCTGGCCAGGACACAGGACTGGCTCTTCCATCTTATAGCCCATGACCCAGCTTGGCCCAGCTAGCAAGCTCCTCTCATCACATTTTCAACTTTGTTGTTGTTGTTGCCCGGGCTGGAGTGCAGTGGTGCCATCTCAGCTCACTGCAACCTCTGCCTCCCAAATACCTGGGATTACAGGTGCACACCACCACGCCTGGCTGAGTTTTGTATTTTTAGCAGAGACAGGGTTTCACCACGTTGGCAGGCTGGTCTTGAACTCCTGGCCTCAGGTGATCTGCCCTTCTCAGCCTTCCAAAGTGCTGGGATTACAGGCAGGAGGCACTGTGCCTGTTTTTTGTTTTTTGTTTTTTTTCTTTTTTTTTTGAGACAGAAATTTTTCCTTTTTTCCTATTTTTTTTGAGAGAGAGTCTCACTCTGTCATCCAGGCTGGGGTGCAGTGGTGTGAACTCTGCTCACAGCAACCTCCGCTTCTGGGGTTCAAGTGATTCTCCTGCCTGCCTCACCCTCCTGAGTAGTTGGTATTACAGGCATGCACCTCCACTCCCAGATAATTTTTTTTTTTGCTCTGTTACCCAGGCTGGAGTGCAGTGGTGCGATCTAGGCTTACTGTAATGTCTACCTCCCAGGTTCAAGTGATTCTCGTGTCTCAGCCTCCCGAGTAGCTGGGATTATAGGAATGTGCTACAAAGCACACTCCTGGTTGTTCTTTAACTTGATTTCTAAAAATCTTGGTCCAGATGCCAACAGCTCCAGATACCCACCTAGAAGCTAACAGTGGGGAAGAGCACTGGGGGGACACCTCCAGATAGGAGCAAAGGTGGCCTCTATGACTTGAAACTGCCTCTTGACATGCTCAAAAGCAAGTACAACAAAAACAAGCAAATGCTGCTAGTCATTATGTCTGGGTGGTGGGTTGAAGGTCATATTAAATTCTCTCTTTGGGCCAGGCACTGTGGCTCATGCTTGTAATCCCAGCCCTTTGGGAGGCCAAGGCAGGAGGATCATTTGAGTCCAAGAGTTTGAGACCAGCCAGGGCAACACAGGGAGACCTATCTCTACAAAACACTTAGTTGTGTGTGGTGGCATGCTTCCCAGCTTCTCAGGATGCTGAGGTGGGAGGACTGCAGAGTGAGACCCTATCTCCAAAAACAAACAAACAGAAAACCAAAAATTCCCTCTTTGTACTTTGTTGTGATTTTCTCACACTTTCTTGCTTTCTTTTTTTTTTGAGACAGAGTTTCGCTCTTGTTACCCAGGCTAGAGTGCAATGGCGCGATCTCGGCTCACTGCAATCTCTACCTCCTGGGTTCAAGCAATTCTCCTACCTCAGCATCCCGAGAAGCTGGGACTACAGGCACGCGCCACCATGTCCAGCTAATTTTTGTATTTTTAGTAGAGATGGGGTTTCACCATGTTGACCAGGATGGTCTCGATCTCTTGACCTCGTGATCCACCCGCCTCGGCCTCCCAAAGTGCTGGGATTATAGGCATGAGCCACCGCGACCGGCCTTCTCACACTTTCTAAATTGAATGTGAATTGTTTGTTACAGGTAAAACATACAGTAAATGTTATTGTTAAGATCCCTAAAGAGGCCAGGCATGATGGCTCATGCCTCTTATCTCAGCACTTTGAAAGGCCAATGTGGGAGGACTGCTTGAGGCCAGGAGTTCAAGACCAGAGAGACCCTTCTCCATACACACACACACACACACACACACACACACACAGAGAGAGAGAGAGAGAGAGAGAGAGAGAGAAACAGTTCCCCCTACTAGGAGCCAGGACCCTCTCCTGCAGTACCAAATGTTGAAAATGTTGGTTAGGCATAGTGTCTCATGCCTGTAATCCCAGCACTTTGGGAGGGTGAGGCAGGTGGATCACCTGAGGTCAGGGGTTCGAGACTAGCCCTGGCCAACACAGTGAAACCTCGTCTCTACTAAAACTACAAAAAATTAGCTGGGCATGGTGGCGCGTGCCTATAATCCCAGCTACTCAAGAGGCTGAGGCAGGAGAATTGCCTGAACCCAGGAGGCGGAGGTTGCAGTGTGAGCCGAGATCATGCCATTGCACTCCAGCCTGAGTAACAAGAGCGAAACTCCGTCAAAAAAAAAAAAAAAAAAAAAGCCTCTAGCCAGGTGTGGTGGCTCACGCCTGCAATCCCAGAACTTTGGGAGGCTGAGGCAGATGGATCATCTGAGGTCAGGAGTTTGAGACCAGCCTGGCCAACATGGCAAAACCTGGTTCTACTAAAAATACAAAAATTAGCTGGGTGTGGTGGCAGGTGCCTGTAGTCCCATCTGCTCAGGAGGCTGAAGCATGAAATTGCTGGGTGGAGGTTGCAGTGAGCTGAGATTGAACCACAGAGTGAGACTCTGCCTCAAAAAAAAAAGCCACACACATATTAGCCACACTCTCTTGGCTAAGAAACCCAATAAAATCAATCAAGAAAGGCAATTTCTCATCTCTCAAATTAGCAAATATATGTGTGCACGTAAATGTAATTTTTAAATCTGGGGATGTCTAATGGTGGCAAACTCTGTTGGGGGCTGTGGACAGTGCTTCTGGAGGACAATTTGGTAACAGCTTTAAAAAAAAATTGGGCCGGGCATGGTGACTCACACCTGTAAACTCACCATGAAAATCATCTGTACTGAAAATACAAAAATTAGGCCGGGAGCGGTGGCTCAAGCCTGTAATCCCAGCACTTTGGGAGGCCGAGGCGGGTGGATCACGAGGTCAAGAGATTGAGACCATCCTGGTCAACATGGTGAAACCCCCCCGTCTCTACTAAAAATACAAAAAATTAGCTGGGCATGGTGGCACATGCCTGTAATCCCAGCTACTCAGGAGGCTGAGGCAGGAGAATTGCTTGAACCCAGGAGGTGGAGGTTGCAGTGAGCCGAGATCGCGCCATTGCATTCCAGCCTGGGTAACGAGAGCGAAACTCCATCTCAAAAAAAAAAAAGAAAATACAAAAATTAGCTGGGTGAGGTGGCACACATCTGTAATACGAGCTATTCTGGAGGCTCAGACAGGAAAATCACTTGAATCCAGGAAGTAGAGGTTGCAATGAGCCAGGATTGTGCCACTGCACTCCAGCCTGGGCAACAGAGCAAGACTCTTTCTCAAAAACTAACAATTGGCCGTGCACAGTGGCTCATGCCTGTCATCCTAGTACTTTGGGAGGCAGAGGCAGGCAAATTGCCTGAGCTCAGGAGTTCGAGTCCAGCCTGGGCAACATGGTGAAACCCCATCTCTACTAAAATATAAAAAATTAGCCAGGCATGGTAGCATGTGCCTGTAGTTCCAGTTACTCAGGAAGCTGAGGTAGGAGAATTGCTTGAACCTGGGAGGCAGAGGTTGCAGTGAGCCGACATCACACCATTGCACTCCAGCCTGGGCGACAGTGAGACTCCGTCTCCATTAAAAAAAAAAAAAAAAAAAAAAAAAAGCAAAACCCAGCCAGGTGCAGTAGTTCATGCCTGTAATGCTAGCACTTTGGAAGGCCAAGGCAGGTGGATCACTTGAGGTCAGGGTTTCAAGACCAGGCTGGGCAAACGTGGTGAATCCTTGTCTCTACTAAAAATACAAAAACTAGCTGGGCATGGTGGCACACACCTGTAATCCCAGCTACTTGGGAGGCTGATGCAGAATTGCTTGAATCCAGGAGGTGAAGGTTGCAGTGAGGCAAGATCTTACCATAGCACTCTAGCCTGAGCAACACAGGGAGACTCTTTGTTTCGTGGTTTTTTTTTTTGAGACTCTCTCTCTAAAAAAAATTCCCTACTCTTGGATACAATAATTCCACTTCTGGGAACTGAAATTAATAAGTATCAGGAAATTGGGAAAAAAACCTTCATACTCAACAGTGGATGTCCTTGGAGTTAATTTCAAAGGGGAACTGCAGCAGTGAGCCAAGATCGCGCCATTGCACTCCAGCCTGGGCAACAAGAGTGGAACTCTATCTCAAAAAAAAACAAAAAGGGAACCGCAAACAACCTAGATGCTCAGGCAGCCTCAGAGGAATGTGTGAAGAGAGACCTCAGAGGCATGTGAAACAGTATAACAAAGAAGCGTCTCTTCACTGGAAATGTTCAATAAAAACAGCAGGATTCACACATATATAGCAGAGTCACACTGACTCTGTTAAAGAACGCAGAACCAAGGCCAGGTGGGAAAGGCACCCGAGTGGCTACAATAGGGCTTTTTGACCAGAAGCTGCCAGGCATTGGGTCTGCAGGGAGAAGCGACAGAAGAGGCAGGACTGAATTGCATTCTCTGTGGGTTTAGTATACGAGGCTGATAACTGCTAGAAATGAGGCAGAGGAATGTCTGAGTCCCTGGGGTGCTTGGAAGGAAACAAATCAAATGTATCTGTTGCTCCTGTGTACAGAACAAGCCTTTAAGGGTCTGGGATCATCCTGGATCCAAATCAAGGGTCATTCCAGAGTCAGTTTTAGGGGATTTGGAGCCAAATGCCCCACTATTCCTATCCTCCTGAGTCCCTGCTGCCTGAAGGATCAGCCAGCCACCTGAATCAGCCACCTGGTAGAAGGGGGTTGATCCACCACTCACTAAATCAGCCTGCACTGGCCCTGCAGACTCCGTGACACCAGTGATGCCCAGCCAGAGGAGCAGCGGGGCACTGGCCCCCAACCATGTGCAGGAGGTGCGCCTGCACCCTGTGGAGTCCATCAGCGACCTACACAGCGGAGGTGAGCCAGGACAGGGGTGGATAATGTGCTGGGGGTGGGGATGAAAGCAGGTGCACCCACTACCCTCCCGCTGTCCCATCCACCCAGCAGGCACACTGCGCCCCTATCTGACTGAAGGGGCACAGCCGTGGGATGAGCTGCTGGGCGTTTTGCCACCGTCGCTGTGTGCCCAGGCTGGCTGCAGTCCTGTGTACAGACGAGGGTTCCTGCTGCTGCTTGTGCTGCTGGTGCTCACCTGCCTGGCACTTGCACTCCTGGCTGTCTACCTGAGTGGTATGGATGCAGAGTGCTGGTAGGAAGAGGGCAGGGCAGTGGAGCCTGGGAGGCACTTCTATGCAGTTGGAAGGAGCAACTGCAGATGCTGCAGCAATGAAGGATGGGATGGGAGGCTCACGGGTGCCCCCAGTCCTGGGCTGGGTGTGCAGGGGTCATGGGGTGGCACATGGTCTGATGATCCCTGACTTCTTATTTATAGTGCTGCAGAGTGAATCCCTACGCATCCTGGCACACACACTGCACACACAGGAGGAGACACTACTCAAACTCCGCCTGGCCAGCCTCAGCCAGTTTCGGAGGCTCAACTCCAGTGAGGCCCAAGCAGCACCCAGCTGATGCCACTTGGATCTGGGGCCTCGGGGTGTGTGTTGGGAGGAATAAAGTGGCTATGGGCAGGTCTCTTCTTCCCTACTGCTGGCTGCCACATCTACATTATTTCCTTGGTGAGATTTTTGTGTAAGAGCCTGATACTTGGCTGGGCGCGGTGGCTCATGCCTGTAATCCCAGCACTTTGGAAGGCCGAGGCAGGTGGATCACGAGGTCAAGAGGATCGAGACCATCCTGGTCAACATGGTGAAACCCCATGTCTACTAAAAATACAAAAATTAGCTGGGCATGGTGGCGCGTGCCTGTAATCCCAGCTGCTCAGGAGGCTGAGGCAGGAGAATTGCCTGATCCCAGGAGGCAGAGGTTGTGGTGAGCTGAGATTGTGCCACTGCACACCAGCCTGGGTAACAAGAGCAAAACTCTGTCTCAAAAACAAAACCAGGCCGGGCGCGGTGGCTCACGCCTATAATCCCAGCACTTTGGGAGGCCGAGGCAGGTAGATCACGAGGTCAAGAGATGGAGACCATCCTGGTCAACAAGGTGAAACCCTGTCTCTACTAAAAATACAAAAATTAGCTGGGCACGGTGGTACGCGCCTGTAGTTCCAGCTACTTGGGAGGTTGAGGCAGGAGAATTGCTTGAACCCAGGAGGCGGAGGTTGCGGTGAGCTGAGATCATGCCATTGCACTCCAGTCTGGGTAACAAGAGCGAAACTCCGTCTCAAAAAAAAAAAACAAAAAAAGAACCTGATACTGATTTCACAGCTCCCTGCCTCTCCTGATCTCTTCAAGATAGGCCTAGCCAAGCCTCTGGTGCCAAAGCTTTGTTCTGGGTGACCCAAGGTCAAGGGAAGGTGCACCAGCCTCCTGGCTCCTCCTGTGGCCTGTCAGCACTCTCTGGCCATCCCCAGATGGCAGGTTCTGAAGTCTAGAAATAGCTGCCCCTACGGCAGTCACCAAACTCTGCCAGGCCTCCCAGTGGGGGTCCAGCCTCAGCTATCAAAGACAGGTTGGGCTCTGAGTGGGGGGAGAGGCGCCACCTGGGGGAGCCTTGGAGGGCAAATGTGACATGGGGGAAGACCCAGTTGGGCCCAAGTATGTGGTGGTAGATAGACAGGGAGAGAGAAGAGAAAAATACTCGGGGTTAAGACCATAGAAGGCTGAGCATTCTGTTTAATATCTCTAATAATACTTAAAAAAATCAGCACACAAATCCATTCCAAGTAGCTTTGCCTCCCCACCTGCTGTGGTGGCATTTGTCCAGATGCCACCACCCACCTAAGAGTGGGTCATCCTAGGGGAGCAAGGCCTGAGAAAGAAAAGGAAGGGAAAGGTCCCCTAGTGCCTGCCCCACAGCCCTGGGACAGGCACATATTTAGCCTGGCCTGAGACAGGGTAGGAAGAGGCCACAGGGCTGAATGCAGGGACAAAGGAGCCAGGGTCCCAAGTGTCTGGGCCCCCAGCTGCCCACCCCATGTCTGTTTTTGGTTTTTTCATTAAAAAAATAAAGTGACAAATACTGGTGGAGACCAGTTGTCGCACTGTCTTCTGTTAAAAATACGGACCAAAGGTATGGAGAGTCTCCTCTTCAGCTGGTCCTGCTTCACAGGATGTCTGCCCGCTTGTCCCGCACACGGCTTCGAGCCTTCGTCCGGGCTTTGAAGGTGGCAGCATTGTACAGGTGCTGGAGTGGGGACAGAGAGTGATACCCTGGGGAGCAGGGAGGGGAAAGGTCTGGGGCTCCTCTTCCAGCCACTGCAGAATTCCAGGCCTCCAGGAAACAGGGGAATAGGGGGAAAAGGAAGGTGCCCAAGGGTGCAAACCTTCTCGAAGCGTGGAACCTTGCAGGCCTTCAGGGCAGCAGCATCCAGCACCAGCACAGGGCCCAGCCCAAAGATGTCACGGAGTAGCTCATTGTTCTGGGGGGCAGAGGGCAGTAAGCCCAGGCCAGGCTGAAGCAGCCAAGCCAGGTGCCCCCTCCCTGTCTGTCCCCGCACCTGGAGGTGGTGGTGCATGCCCGAACCCAGCACTTCCTTGAAAGCAGCATAGATTCGGTGCCGAGCCCAGCTGTCCATGTAGAGCACCTCAAAGCCAAAGCGCACTGTCTCTTCTTCGCATTCACCGCCCTGCAGGGTAGAGGGGCCCACACAACTGGGCTTGGCTGCTATGCCTGGGGGTGCACCCTTGCTAGGACACATATGTTCTCACACGCACCTCCACGGAGTGCAGCACGGCGCGGAAAGTAGAGCGCTGGCGCCGGCGATCGGCCTTGGCACGGTACTTGTTGCTGTCAGTGGCCAGAGTGCGCAGGACACTGCAGAGGGCCTCCATGTCCTTGTAAACAAACTCCTCCTGCAATGTGAGTGTTGGAGGGTGTGTAGCAGATGCTTGAGCTCTGCTGGCTCTGAACACAGCACTGCCTAAACCCCTCCTTTCACTGAGAGACCCTCTCTTCTCTGCCTGGCCCCTTTGACCCCTCCTTGGCCTCTGCCTGGCCAGGACACCCCAGCTCAGGGCACCCATCATGACATCTGGCAGATTAATCTGTGTTGGGGCCATCTCTTCCACATAATGACCTAAAGCTATTCTGTTTTCTGTTGCACCCCTGCATCCAGCCTGTGATGGGCAGGTGGTGTCACCAAGCACCCCCAACCCTGTCCTTCGCACCTCAAGGTCCCGGGCAAGCTCAAAGAGCAGGGCAATGGTTTCACCAGCAGCAATCCGCAGGTTCACACTTTCACTGGACAAGAGCTGGGGCAGCCGGGGCAGCTGCCTAGGGAAGGGGCAGGCTGAGCTACATGTGTGGGTTGGGGCCTCTTTGAGATCCCCTCCCCATCCCAGTGGACAGCCACGCCTACCTGTCAAGGATGTGGCTGAAGTGGGTGCTGGGGCAGATGGTGAGCAGTAATGCCCAGGCCTGCAGGGCAGCACAGAGTAGGCCGTGCAGGCTGGCAGGGACCACAGGAGTTGCAGAGCTGCCCAAGCCATAGAACTGGCTGAAAATACTTTCTAAGCAGGCAAGGCAAGAGACCAGGTCCTAGGAGCACAGGAAGGCAGGGGAGCTCAGAGGCAGAGTTACAGGCCTAGGTGTTCCACCACCTGTGCCCAAAGACCACTTACCTGGATGTCGGCGGCAGCCACGTAGCAGCCCAGGCCAAGAGCAGAAGCGCACTGTTGGGAGGAGGGCAATGCCATGCCACAGTCAACAGGTGAACCTGCATTCCCAGCCCTGGAGCTCACCCTCCTCAGAGTAGGGGAGGCTGAAGACAGGAGGAACCCACCATTCTGCTGAGGGATAAGGTGGAGGAAGGGTTTCACGGGGCAGGGGCACACTCACGTGGAGCTGGGCAGCAGGGCTAGCTGTGCTGTCACTGAGCACAGAGACCAGCAGGGGCTGTAGGCTGTGGAACAGCTCCTCACCCTTGGGTCCAGGGCCCAGCTGCACGCAGAGCAGGCCTAGCACAGCAGCCGCCAGGGCCTGTTCCTCACCCTTCCCTGTGGGATGCTTTCCAGTCAGCCCATGCAGCAAGGGCCAGTGTCTGCAAAGTTTAAGTCTCCCATGCACCCCCAGGTCCAACCTTTCTTGAGGCACTTTTCCAGGGCATCGGCTAGTGTGAGGCGGCGCTCCAGCAAGACGTCGGGGAGTAGGCGGGACGCCAGGGCCAGGCGCAGGCTCTCAAGAGCACCCTGCCGGGTCTTGGCACTGGAGGAGGTCAACAAGAGGAGTCAAATGGGCCAGCCCTCCCTTGGTCACACTTGGAGCTGGGTGTAAGAGTTGGCTGGCAGCCAGGGGTACCTCTTGTCTGTGAGGCAGTCCACATACTCCTTCAGCTTTTCCTCAAGGTCTTCTTGCTGGCTCTGCTCATCCACGACATCCCCCCCTGCAAGGCCACTTGGTCAGCACTTCTTCTTCCATGGAGCCCCCTCACCAAGCCCCTGTCAAACCTCCACCTACTCTCACCAAGGCTGTCCTCTGCAGTGGTGCTGAGAAGGCTGGGGCATTCACTGGCGGTGCTGTGGGCCTCACTGGCTGCCTCATCCTCACTGGAACCTGAGTCAGCTTGGGCACTGCTCTGGGCACCTGGGGAAGGTGGAACAGGACACTCAACTTGCCTCCACTGATGAGGGATGGCTGGGGTACTTCCCCTGACCTCATAATCCCAAAAGATGGAATGGTGCACCCTCTTGGAAAGGAAAAATCAAAGCCATGGGTCAGGTCAGTAGGGCTGGTGCACTCCTGTGCGTGGGGTCTGTCCAGGGCCAAGGGCTGACATTGGCAAGTGTGGCTGCCGTGGCAGAGTTTTGGACAGGGTCTGATCATCAGGCTGGACCTAATTCTCAGAACTACTCACAGCTCTCACCTGCAGGACAAAGTCCAGCCTGCACACTGGCCTCTGCTCTCCTTTTATCTTACTATCCTACCTGACAGAGCAGCCCAGCCTTCCCGTACTCACTCCAGTGTGCTGGGGTCCCTCCAGCTGCCAGGCCTCTGCACAACTTGCTTTCTTCTCCATCTTCTTGGGACTTACCCAGAAGTACTTCCCCACAGGCCTACCTGAGTTCTAAGTCTGGAGCTGACACCACTCAGTGAACACGCTCCATATCCTATTAGATGTCCCCCACCCAAATCCCACCAGGGTGGTGACCAGTTTAAAGTTGTGCCTAGGTCTTTTCCTCCTTCCTGTGCCAGGCTTTCTTTCCCTCCGCATCAAAAATAAAAATAAATAAAATTGTTCCGGCCGGGCGCAGTGGCTCAAGCCTGTAATCCCAGCACTTTGGGAGGCCGAGGTGGGTAGATCACGAGGTCAAGAGATCAAGACCATTCTGGTCAACATGGTGAAACCCGTCTCTACTAAAAATACAAAAAATTAGCTGGGCATGGTGGCGCATGCCTGTAATCCCAGCTACTCAAGAGGCTGAGGCAGGAGAATTGCCTGATCCCAGGAGGTGGAGGTTGCGGTGAGCCGAGATCGCGCCATTGCACTCCAGCCTGGGTAACAAGTGTGACACTTCGTCTCAAAAAATAAAAAATTAAAATAAAATTGTTCATGGTAGGCACCCCATCCCAGCAAAGTAAACATATGTGTTTACTGCATTAAGACAGGCTCCTGGTCTAAGCTGATAAGCGAGTCCCAAGACTGCATCAGGCTCCAGGATACTCGGCCACCTTGCCGGGCCAGGCCTGCCAAGCTGCCAAGGCCCTAATTCTGTAACTTCCCAACAGAGCCCCCCACTTCTGTTCACCGGAGCAATCTAGGACTCCCGCCAACTTCCTTGACCAGTCCAGGAAAGGATCAGGGTTTGGTGAGGGGACTGGCTTTCTGCTCTGTCCAGTGAGTTTGTCCACCCCAGCAGGCAACTGAGGCAAAGAGGCAATGGAGAAACTGAGGCCTGGAGGGGCTGGCCGGGTCACCGCTGGGAGCGCGGGCTCCCAACAGGTAGTGGGCAGCGAGATCAAGTTGGGCACGCACGTGGCCAATGACTGCTGGGGCACGTGCCAGCCTTCGTAGAGTTCCGGGAAGCTGCCCGGGGCTAGCCGAAAGGGTTCCCCACCCAGGGCCCTCGGGAACAACTACAGGGATCCAGCAGGACCCCCGCCTGCCGCTCATAAGCTCGGCGCCCCCCACCCCACTCACCTCCTCCACGGCGCTGACCACCCTTTCGGAGCGTGTTGCCCTTACGGGAGCGAGGCATGCTGGGAACCGGGCGCGGGGGGCGCGGGGGGCGCAGGGGGCGCGGGGTCAGGGACCCGGTGGGTGTGGGCTCCAGGCCAGCGATAAGCCGGCCGGTGCACTGCGCTGAGACTTGGCCAGACGACAGGAGCCACACGCCGCGCGCGCCACCATCTTCCCGAGGCGGCCCGCCCTGCCAAACAGGTCGCCGGGAAGCCGAGTTCCCGGCCATCCGGTTCAGACCCACATCTACGCGGCTAAAACTACTAATCCCAGGGGCCTGAGCTGCGCGTAGAGCACTACGGGAATGGTAGTCCACGCCTGGAGCCCACCAGCCGACGACGTGCTAGCTTAACTATGTTCCCACAATGCCCTGCACGTGCCCCAACCCCTTGGTGGCCGTGCGCGGTCGTTAACTCAGAAGCGTCACTCAGTGGAGCGCCACGGCAGGACTGGCTTCTAAGGGCACTTGGCAGGACACCCCCGATGAGGCCGATCTCTGCCTAGGTCTGGGGATCCCGGGAAGGGCTCAGAGTTTGGGATAACAGGAGGAGCAGCCAAACCGCAGGCAGTGGAAGAAAAAGTGATTTTATGATGAAAAAGTACAGACAACAGCTTAGCACTTTATAGACCCTAGCCAAGATTTTTTGGGGCCCATCTGCCCGCGCATGGCCCATTTCCTGTGACCTCTCCATGGGCCTAGAGAGGTGTAGGCACAAAGCCCTAGGCTGGCACCTCTAACTAGCTGGTGACTCTCCCTGGAACTGCTTCCTTGCCATGGAGGAGTCATATGATCTCAGACAGCCTCTGGTTTTATAAGCCTTTTTTTCTGGTCCCTTCCATGCCTCAGGGATTCCCAGGGAAATGGGGTGTGTGTTTTTGGGAGGGTTGGTAAGCTGAAAAGAGCAAGAGTGGGACAGAGTAGCTCCTGGACTGGAAAAGTGGCAGGAGGGAAAAGAGGCAGTGGCAGGGGCCCTGGCTTTATACTGCTTCTTTAGGCCCAGGCCTGGGCTCCTGGCAGGTAGGGCCAGCCCAGCCCCAGTAACAGTGGCAGCTGAAGAACTTCCAACCTTCAAGGCTGCCGTTTGGCCACAGGTGTAGAAAGGCTTCCATCTGTCCTGGATCTCGCCAGGCACAGCGCCCGTGGCCATGGCACTGCTGGTGACTGCAGGCCATTGCTGCCCTGGTCACATTGATCACATAGGGGCCCAAGGTGTCCACCAGGTAGTCATGGAGACGCCAGCACTCCTCCTAAGAAGGGAAGGGATGTGTCAATATGCCTGCTCCATAGTCTTGACATGGCCATCCCTCACCCTGGGACCCCAGCATGTGCTATATGACAGGCTCAAAGGGGCAATGATCACCTCAGAGCTGGAGAGGCTCAGGTCCCCCCAGAGCACCACGCCGGCCGCCCCTAGTGCTGCGCTCACACCAATGGTCTGCACAAGGTCATCCTAGAGGCAAAGAGCTGCTAAGCCAGGGCTAGCCTGGCCAGATCCATGTGGGTCCACATGCACCTTCAAGAAACTCCTCTGGTTCACTGCCACAATCTGATTCTACCTCTACAGTGGGGCCCTTCTAGTTTGGTTTGCTTTTAGAGGCAGGGTTTTGCTCTGTCATCCAGGCTGGAGTGCAGTGGCATGATCATAGCTCACTGCAGCCTTGAACTCCTGGGATCAAGTGATCCTCCCACCTCACCTCAGCCTCCCAAGTAGCTGGGACTATAGGCCCATGTCATAACACCTGGCTAATAACTTTTTACGCTGGGTGCAGTGGCTCACACCTGTAATCCCAGCACTTTGGGAGGCCAAAGTGGAAGGACTGCTTGAGTCCAGAGCCAGCCTGCGCAACATGATGAAACCCCATCTCTACAAAAAAATAAAAATTAGCGGCTGGGCATGGTGGCTCACACCTGAAATACCAGCAATTTGGGAGGCTGAGGTGGGCAGATCACCTGAGGTCAGGAGTTCAAGACCAGCCTGGCCAACTTGGTGAAACCCTGTTTCTGCTACAAATCTAAAAATTAGCTGGGCATGGTGGCATGCGCCTGTAGTCCCAGCTACTTGGGAGGATGAGGCAGAAGAATCACTTGAACCTGGGAAGCAGACGTTACAGTGAGCCAAGACTGGGCCACTGCACTCCAGCCTGGGCAACAGAGTGAGATTCTGCCTCAAAAATAAAATAAAATAAAAATTAGCTGAGTGTGGTGGTATGCACCTGTAGTCCAGCTACTTGGGAGGAGGCTGAGGCAGGAGGATCACTTGAACCCAGGAAGTGGAGGTTGCAGCTGAGATCATGTTACTGCACTCCAGCCTAGGCAAGAGAGTAAGACTCTGTCTAAAAAATTTTTTTTGGTAGAGATTGGGGTCTTACTATATTGCCCAGGCTGGTCTCAAACTCTTGACCTCAAGTAATCCTTCCATCTCAGGGTCCCAAAGTACTGGGATTATAGGTGTGAGCCACTCACCCAGCCCAAGTAGGGCCCCTTTGTATCGAGTCTCTGAGTGGCTTCTCAGGCCTTCCACTCAGAATATCTCCCATCAGACCAGGCCTCCAAAGGCTGGGCCTCCCTATGCCTCAAGATCTTCCAGGGCAGAGCCATACCCCCTCATCAGTTGCTTCAGGGCAGGGTCTTCTACTCAAAATCCCTAGATTAGGACCTACCCCTAGGCAAGGTCTTCTGGGATCTTCTGAGAATAGGGCCATACCTCCTGACTCAGGCCCCTAGACCTCAGCTCCCACTTACCTGGGACAGGAACCTCCCAGATCTCCGGTGTGTAAGGCGGACATAGGCCAAGACAGGCAGGGGATGTTGGTGCCCAACACGGGCCACACGGAAGGCCTCCTCCAGGCGATGTCGGACAAAGGCCTGGTGGTAGGCAGGTGGCAGCCTGGGTGGTAGGTAGATGCTGGGGAAGAGAGCACTGGAGGCGGCCCAGAGCCAATGCAGTTGGGTGTTTCGGGCAAGGGTGGCTGCATGGCAGCGGCCGGTATAGTTGGAAGCTATACTATGCCAGCTATTGCCGCAGTTTGGGTAGCGATAGAAGCCCCAGAGTCCATAGGGCCGCAGTGCCTGGCCCAGCCGCAGCGTATCCTCCATCAGCGCACGGGCCGCCTGCTCAAAGCCAGTATAGGCCTTGTAGAGCTGCTCCTGAGGGTCCAGGTCAGGGAATACCTGCTGTACCCAAGCCCAAGAGGCTGCCTGATAGGCCCGGCGGCGGCCCCAGTTCCCAGCCCAGAGTGGACACCACTCCTCCCAATCCAGCACTGCTGGGCCAGCAAAGCCGGGTCTCAGGTTATGGTGGATCTGGTAGGCAGCCAGTGCCAGATGACGGTCAAGGGGCAAAGCCTGGGGGATTCCCCCATTGTGAACTGTGCCCCTGGGCCCAAAGTAAGGATAGAGGCCCAGCTGGTTCTTGTAGAAAATGGTCATGTTCTGACCATGGAAATGCTGGCCATGGTTGGCTATGATGCCCAGGGCATTGAGTGGCAGGTGCACACCAAAGCGCGCCTTACAGTGTGCTGAGGGTACATTCCACAGCACAGAGAAGGGGTGTTCAGGGATGTGTGGCAGGGACTGGCCACAACCCAGGCACAGGGCCACCCCCAGCACCAGGGCTGGGCCTAGTTGCGTGGTCATGCCCCAAGGATGGAAACCTGCAGGAGAGAGGGATGTGTGAGCTTAGAGTCCATGGCCATGGCCACACCTTCCAAATAGCAGGGAAAGCTAGGAAAACTCCCCCAGCGCCTCCTTATCTTATGGGAGAAGCCTAGAGAAGGCATGTTTCCCCAGGGGTCTCTTGGGCTTTTTAAAGCAGCCACACCATAAGCTAGCTATGATCTCCCAGGCATCGAGTGGCAGGTACACACCAAAGTGCGCTTTACAGTGAGCTGAGGGTATGTTCCCTCCCATGTTCCCCATCTTTGTGAAGACACCAGTGTCCTCCCACAGCTGTTACAAGTCCCCTTCTTTCCTCTGCACACCTTGTTCCTTGTTCCCTGTTCCAAGAACACTCAGCTCCCACCTCCTTACCTGCCTGGTTTAATTCCTTCCTAGCACTCAGGTCTCTGCTGTGACATCACTGTTCTGGGAGGTCTCCTGGATCCCCAGGTGGAGTGAAGGCACTTAGGTTTCCAAAGCCTCTTTACCTCCCCTGTGCCACATGGATCCTGCCACTGTATGCCTGTTTGTCTCCCTATCTGTCACCCTGCCTGTCTAGTTCCCCATTGCCTATGTCCTGCCCTGGGCTTAGTGAATGGTAGTGAGGGAGTCAGTGGGGAAGAGAACAGCCACCCTGTCTCCTGGGCCTGGTGGGGGGGAAGGGCAAAGGACAGGCATCCTCCCATCAATGGCCTCAGAGCCAAGGCGAATCTGGGGGCTTCTATAGGGAAAGGGGACCTGCAGAAGAGGTGAGAGGTGAGGGTAGGGGGGTTCAACAAACTGTCACAGCCACACCCAACAGAGCCTTTATTTAGCCACACTGACGGCTCTGAGCCAGGTCCACCTCCTGGCCCCACTGGTACCCAGGAAACATGCCCAGGCTAAAGCTGCCCCTGCAGGGGCTAGGGACTGAGGTATGGTTGGTGGGATGAGGCTGGCAGACTGTCCGGGGCAGTCAATTGACCCCAAAAAACAACTCCTTGCCCTGGATGGCCTCAGATGTCTTTTTCCATCCAGAATATGGGGCACCCTCTCATGTTTTGGTATTGTGTCTCCAGCAGGCTTTTTGGAGGGAGCCCTGATGGAGCTGGGGGTGAGGTGGTCAGGCACTCAGGTAGGGGAGGGGGTGGTGGCAATGGAGGCCCTTTGGAACCCCTTGGAGCAGCTTGGACAGTTAGGTTTGGGGCCTTCCAGGGTAGCCGGGGAGAAAGAACCATGGGGAAGAAATTAAGTAGGGTGGCAGGCAGCTGTCTGCTGGTGAAGACCAGGCCCTGCACAGGCTCACCCAGCTGGTAGCCCAGGTGGGTATAGAAGTGCAGCTGGTCATGGGTGGTGAGGTGCAGCTTGCGGAAGCCCCGGGCCCGAGCAAACACCTCCAGGCCCTCCATGAGGCGGCGGCCAAAGCCACGGCCCCTCAGGGCCCGGGCCACTACCACCGTCTCCACTAAGAGGCTCTGGGGCTGGTTCAGCACCCGTGACAGGCGGGCATGGCCCACCACAATGGGTGCTGCTTCAGGTGTGGGGTTGGGGCTCAGCAGCATCAGGCAGAGGGGGAAGGCATCTGAGGACTGGCCCAGGGAGTGCAAGCGGGAGGCACGGCTGCGGGGCCACTCATCATTGATGAGGTCAGCACAAGCATCCAGGAGCTCGGGTCGGCGGTGCACAGGCTCCAGGGTCAACTCAGCTAGGCTAGGAGCTAGGGTCTCCTCTGGCTGGTGTTCAAGATCCAGAGTAAGCTCAGCTGCACTAGGACTGAAGGTCATCTTTGGTTGGCATGTGGAATCCAGAGGCAGCTCTCGCTGGCACGTAGGATCCAGGGTTAGCTTGGTCAGGCTGGATTTCAGGGTCAGCTCTGGCTGGCAGGTAGGATCCAGAGTCAGTTCAGCTGGGCTGGCACTCAGGATCAGCTCCATCTGGTGTGTTAGGGTCTAGTGTAGGGGTCAGCTTGGCTGGGCCAGGGCTCAGAATCAGCTCTTGCCTACGCATAGGATTCAGGTTCAGCTGAGTCAGGCTGGGGGCCAAGGTAACCTCCTGCTAGGTTGCAGGTGGCTCAGTGCCACGCTAGAGGTTAAGACTCCAGTTTCCAGGCAGTGGCATCTCTTCAGACCACAGGGGCTCTCCTCCTGTAGATAACAGCCATGCTGGGCTGTGCCAGGAAGAAGGATGGGGTTGGGGCAGGGAAGGGCTGACAGAGTGCAAGGGGGACCATGCATACTGGAACTGGGGAGTGGTGAGCTGCACTTTGTCCCACACTCACCTGATGGCACAGGTGACCTGAAAGAGACCCATTCCCTACTCCTGGTATAGGGGAGAGCAGGGAAGATAGATCCAGGTGTCTGTCCTACATTGGAGGGAGGCTGGGAGTGATGGATGAGCTGCTTAAGGCTGGCACAGAACCCAGGAGTCATGGCCCTAGCCTGCTCTGGCTACAAATTTGTCCTCCTCAGGACCTCCCCTCACAGGGGGCCTTTGAACCACCAGGTCTATAAGACAGCTGATCCAATCTACTTGCTGGCCTCCTGTCTTCCAGTAGTCCTCCTAGTCCACACCACTAGGGCATGGGACAGAAAGTGCAAAACAGACACTATACCCGCTGCCCAAACCTACCCCAGGTTCCCTCCAGAGGAAATACTGCCTCTAGGGGTCTTCCTAGGTCTTCTCCCTACGTTCAGAGTCTCCTCCAGCTCCCAGCCTTTTCAACTACCTGGGCAATGCCCACTGCCTTAGTGAATCCTGGGGCTCCATTCACCCACCCATCAGGCTCAGCTTTAGGCTGTCTTGGCTGCCTTCCCCACCTGGAGCCCATGGCCCCCTTCCCAACTCTGCCATCTCAGGACACTTTGGATATAGACTCAACTGTCCCCTTGGATGGGGACCCGGCAGCACCAGCACTGGGCCTGCCTGGCCCACAGTCACACAGCAGTATTACTTCTGCAGGCTTGGTTCCCACAGGCCTGAGTTTCGCAGGCACCCTAGATAAAGACCACAGCTTCCTTCCTATATCCAGAGTATCCAACGGTCACCAGGTTGGAGGGGCCAGGTTAGGGGCCCAGACCTGTGCCCAAACCCCACTGTTTGCCCATCTTAACCAAGGTCCTGCTGTCAGGCAGGTCTACAGTGGGGGTTTTCCAGGGCTGGGCAGGCAGTTAGACCCATCCTTCTACTCACATGCTCCTGTGGGGGCCTCCTGGCTCCCCTTACCTCTCCTGAGCTTGAGGCCAATCCAACACTGGCCAGTAACAGGCAGCACCCACCCCTCACCTCCCACCCCATTCACAGGGCTATAAGCCCCTCACCTGCATCAGCCACCTCTGCAGCAGCCACACTCTTCGGTCTGGAGGGAGGAAGCTCCAGGATCCGCCCCTAGGCCTGAGCCAGGGACTACCCGGCGGCCTTAACCCCTTCAGTGCCGATCCCACCCACTGTGGCCGGGGCGGGGCTCCGGGGTCCTCAGAGAGTGGCTTCACCGTCTCTCCTGGGCCTCGGTTTCCTCCTCCCTCCTAGTGAGTCACAGGCTGTGGAGCTTTTGGGAATGGGGACTTCGAGAGCTGACTGTGAGCAGGTGTGGCTCGGCATGCTCTGGAAAGGAACGACCGACGCAGGGAGGGCGTGCGGGGTGACATGGCCACTTGGCGACCCCACGCGCGGGGTGGACGTACAGGCAACAAATGGGGAGGGGGCGATACTGACATGTTGATGCCGGCCTCCGGAATGTTCCGCGTCCTAGCTCCGCACGGCTGGGTATCTCACTCAGTCGCCGGCTCCGACTCCTAAGTCCGAAAGCGCTGGCCCTCAGTAGTGCGGCGGCTGTACAGCAGCCGTAGCTATCCGCGGCGCGTCACTGCGCCCGCGCGTAGCCGGCTAGGCCCCTCCCCTCGTTTGCGCGTCACAACACTCAGCAGACGCAGACTCAGTCTCTGCTCTGGCTCCGCCCTTGCTGAGCCCCACCCCAACTCCAGTTGACTCCGTCTCCTGCCCGCTCGGCCCCATACAGGCCCCGCCTCCTCCTTACGTCACAGGTTAAGTCCCACCTCGATTTGGCTTCCTCGAGGCCCTACGGGTCACCCCTTCAACCAGGCGCAGGCCCCACCTCCAGCTGGCTTTGCCTCCGCCAGCCCCGTCCCAGTTCCCGCCGGCCTCCTGCCCCAGGACAGCTTGGAAACGGTTAGATCAGGTGGGGCTTCCTCCTGAAATTTGGGCCCTACCCTGGGAAGCAGCCGCCCTTAAACTGACGTCAGATCTGGTGAGAGTGACAAGCCTTTCCTGTGCCCTTTGGATGCCGGGGCCTGGACATTTTAGGCGCTCAATAAACAGCTAAGATAATCATGACTGCTTTATTTGCTGGACTGCTGCCTCTAAGCAGATTCAGGGGTCGTGCAGGGCTTGTTACCACTCAATAGGAGTGCCAGGGCTGTACCCTGGAGCCAGACAGCCTGGCCTTGAATCTCAATTTCTCTCTTCTTGCTGTGCAACCTTGGCAAAGTGCTTACCCTCACTGTGAGTGCCTGAGTTTCCTCACAGCCTCATTGTGAGGAAAGAATAAGTCAACATAAAATGCTTAGCACGGGGATTGGCAAAGAGTAGGCGCTCCGTGAATGTAAGCCTTCGTGACTGCTGCAGCTCAGACTGGCTCAGTGTCTCTGGAGGAATTGTCTCTCACCCTGCCAAGTAGACGCATATTGACATGGAATGGATGGTGTCTGCTGTGGTTCTAACTCCTTATGCCACTATTCCAGTCTGTAAGTATGCATGTGTGTGCAAGGCATATGCTCATGACAGTGGCTGAGTGTACTCCTCACTGTGGCCATGACTTGTATGACTGTGCCTGTATTTGAGGAAGCCCTGGCCAGACCCAGAGTGCATTAGGTTCTCAATATGTGCATCCCAATATGTGGCCAATCACCACATGCTTTTCTGCCCACACCACACTCCCTGCCAGCCAGGGTAGCATCGACATTTGAACTCCACAGCCATCTGTGCCCGATCTTCAAGTGAGAGGGCACCCTGCAGGCTCAGGGGCCCACCACCAGGCGTGAGCTGGATGGAGAAACTGGCAGGGTTAAGGATGAGGAGGGCTTTGGGGTGGCTGGGGCGTCGGACACAGCGGCCATGACCAGAGCACAGGGCATGACTGCAGAGAAGAGCCCCATTGGTCACGTTCAGGATGAAGGGTCCCAGTGTAGTGTCCACATACTCCTTGATGGCCTGACATGATTCCTAGGTGGGAGGGGAGGAGAGAGTCAGGGACACCATGGCCATGCATGGACCTACCTAGAGTACTGAGGCACTCACCTGCTGGTCAGCCAGGACTTTGAGGGTAGAAAGGGTAAGCCAGGGTCTCCTAAGTCAGCTTAATGTCCCCACTCCTCCTCCACCCCCACCCTAGCCCCATCCCCATGCCAGGCCTAACTCACCTTGGTTCTCGTATTTTCCCAGCTCACCCAGAGCACCACTCCGGCTGCCCCCTGGGCTGCACTCTCCCCCAGGCTGTGCTCCAGCTCATCCTGGGAAGGAGACAGCACAGCTCTGTGGGGCCTCCTTCCCTCCCTGTGGCAGATTGCTGGAACACCATTGGATGGGACAAATAATTCATAACCTTCACCTGGGGCTGCTCTGGCCATAGGGCCAGAGGCAAACTGCTTCCTCCCCTAGCCAATGAATTCCACGCAGACAGGGACTACATTGTTCAAATTGCCTGTGGCTAGCACAGAACTTGGCACAAAGTACACACTCAATGGATATGCAAATGGGCCGGGACGGTGGCTCAGGCTTGTAATTCCAGCACTTTAGGAGGCTGAGGTGGGAGGATCACCTGAGGTCAGGAGTTTGAGACCAGCCTGGCCAACATGGTGAAACCCCATTTCTACTAAAAATACAAAAATTAGCCAGGCATGCTGGTGTATGCCTGTAATTCCAGCTACTCAGGAGGCTAGATGAGGAGAATCACTTGAACCCGGAAGGTGGAGGTTGCAGGAGCTGAGATCTTGCCACTGTACTCCAGCCTGAGTGACAGAACGAGACTCCATCTCAAAAAAAAAAAAAAAAGAATGAATGGATGAAAATGTCCCAAGGCTAAAGTGCCCCAAGGCTGGACCTAATATCTGACAAGGCAAGTTCACAAGGTGGGCGGGTTACAGAAGACTCACCAGGGGCAGAAAGTGGTTTGTCATATCATAGAAGATCTGGGCATAGGGCAGCACTAGCAGATTGGAGGCCCCAGCAGCCGCAGCCACACGGAATGCCTCACCCACACGGTGCCGCACATACGATTGTGACTTCCCTGTGCCCTCCAGCACTGCAGGCATGTAGATGCTGGGGTAGAGGGCACGGCTCTGGCCCCACAGCCATCCTAGCTGGTCATTTTGGGCACGGATGCCTGATGGGCACTCGCCTGTGTAGTTGGGGCTTAGAAAGTCATAGTTGTAGCATTCAGGGAAGCCATAGAAGCCCCAGAGGCCTTGAGGACGAAGTGCCTGCCCCAGCTGGAGGGTGCCTGCCATCCAGGCCCGTGCAGCTCCCTGGAACTGGTCCTGGGCTACTGCCTCCACTTGAGAAGCTGGCCACTCAGGATGCTGCGCCTGTACCAGTGCCCGTGAGCGCTGCCGGTAAATGTCCTTGGTATCCCAGTTGAAGGCCCAGCGTGGGCGCCATGCCTCCCAGTCGATAACCGCCAGCCCTGAGAAGTCAGAAGTAGGCATGGCAGCCAAGATGTCCTGGAATGTGCGGGCCAGGTGGGCAATCAGGCTGGCATTCTGGGGCAGACCTCCAAACACAGGCTCCCCAGTGGGTGTGTAGTAGGGGTAGGTACCCAGCTGGGAGCTGTAGAAAATTGTCATGTCAGGGCCTCGGAAGGTCTGCCCTGGGTTGGCTACCACATCGAAGACACTGACATCCACGTCCACGCCATGCCTGTCCAGGCACCACTGGGTGTTTGCGTTCCAGACGGTGGTGAAGGGCCGGTTGAGTACCAAGGGGCCCCTGGAGCCTTGGGCCATATCGAATAAGGCCAGGAAGAGGGAGCAGATGGGAAGCAGGTGGGCTGCCATGGCATGGGATTGATCGAGGGCAACCTGGCCAGGGGAGACAGAGCTGAGAACAGGCTGCAAACTTTCTGACCCCCTTTCCAGGGCTGGGGGGCTAAGCCCTTGTGCATTAATCCACCCCTGCTCTGGTTTCCGTTAAACATTGACCTGCAGGGCTCCAGGAGGGCAGAGGATAGAGGGGAGCATGGCCGCTGGAGGACCCATCTGATTTGCTTCTCAGACCAGGCCTCTGCCATCTCCCACAAGCCTCACTCTGGCCTAAGCTTGCCCACCCCCGCTTCCCCATGAGCCACTGAAGCCATGATATTTGTTCTAGCAAGACTGGCTGATAGCCATGCCCTCAGCCCCCAGGCTGACCCGACCCAGGAGAGGAGGCTTTCCTGTCTTTTCCATCAGAAATCCTGGCATCCATTGGAGGAAGATCCAATGGCCTCAGTGACCAAGGAGAGGTTAACCCAGCCCTCCTGTATACCCGCCAGTCTGCCCACTTGTCCCTGCTGACCTCAGGGCTGAAGGGCCTCATCCTCCAAACTTCCTGACCCCAGGGTGGGGGTCTAAGCAGTGCCTGGCCAGATTCTGTGCCTCAACTCTCAACCCAGCTGCACCAGACTCCTGGAGGAAGGAGCCGCTGCTGGAAATTCTGAGCTTTTGTATGGGTCACCCCACCCCAGCCAGGGGCGGGCCAAGGGGCGGGCCTTGGATTGGGAGGCCCAGCCAGGCCAGGCTACCTCAGAATCCCTGGCAAAGGGCTCTTGGTTGGGGGTGAGGCTGGGACAGCAGTGGCCCCTCCCACGCTGTCATCGCTAGGGCAGGGCTTGGTGGTGTTACCCGGGCTGGAGGGGGTGAGTGGAGGCAGACCTGGGTGGGCAGGCCTGTTTGTGACACTGGAAACTGGGTTCCTCAGTGTCTTGTGCTCAGGGAGTGTTCTTTCCCCACATGGCTGCATCTGACATTGATGGGCCCTAAGCACCTGTGTGGATCCTTTCCTGCTTAAAAAAAATATTTTGAAGTATGGCCAGGTGTGGTGGCTCATGCCTATAATCTTAGCACTTTGGGAGGCTAAGGCGGGAGAATTGCTTGAGCCCAGGAGTTCGAGACCAACCTAGGCAACGTAGCAAGACCCCATCTCTACAAACAATTTAAAAATTAGCTGGGCGTGGTGGTGTGTACCTGTAGTCCCAGCTACGTGGGACACTGAGGCAGGAGGATTGCTGGAGCCCAGGAGGTCATGTCTGGGTTACCCTATTATATATTATTAATATACTCATACTATTTTTCTGATTAAAAAGATATTTTTGTGGGTCCCTGAAAGTACTGTGGCCCTAGGCCTTGGGCCTATTGTGCTTAGTAGATAAGCCATCCCTGTTGTAGGGACCTGTTTCTGAAAGTCACTGTGTTCATGAAATCAGGGCTGTGTCATCACCCTTTGTATATGTTCTCAGACAGTGATTGCATCTTTGTGAAGCCCCACTTAGTGACCATCTGGGCCTCTGCACAAATTCCAATGGCAAGTAGGTATGTGTGTGGGACCCAGTGCCTGGGACCAGGTTTGTGAGCCCTGCTGTCTTGTGAGCATGAGACACTGTGTGACCATGCGTATGAGCTGTCAGTGAGCACATGCTTGTTCATTCATTTGTGGTTTCACTTGTTCTATGTGTGAAAGGAAAATATCTTGGGCCCCTTAAAGCTGGGAACCACTCAGGGCAAATCTGCCTCCCATTCTATTCAAGTCATCCTTTCGCTCACAGAGATAGATTGCCTCCACTGCCTCTTTTGGAAAGACTCACCAGAAACTCAAATGAATGTAACCATCTGTCTCGCACCATCTGAGACCTGGAAGACCCCAATGGTGGGGACTGGGTGGGGTGGAGTGGGGTGTGTGCTTGCTTTGAGCTGTCTCTGCCTTTCTGGACGGAACTAAAGTACATCTTACGTATTGATTGATGTCTCATGTCTCCCTAAATATATAAAAGTAAGCTGTACTCCGACCACCTTATGCACATGTCATCAGGACTTCCTGAGGCTGTGTCACAGGTGTGTCCACAACCTTGGCAAAATAAACTTTCTAAATTAACTGAGACCCATCTCAGATTTTCTGGGTTCACATTTTAATAACCACGGGGAGATTCTGAGTGGAGATATTCCTGACCTTTAACTAATCTATCTGTGCTTGGTACCAGCATGAGCTATCTTTATGGCTCAAACCAATAGGACAATTTGCTGAGGTCTGGGAGCACCCCCTCCAGAGAATCCTTGAGCTCTCAAAATTTGGTTGAGATCTAAAGTTTATTTTGCTGTATAACTTTTTTTTTTGAGTTTTACTTGCTTCCAATAGGAAGGCAAGTTTTCCTGCTTCCATGATGATGGAAGGCAGGTAACTCCTTTATAGAGTTTGAGCTCGCTTCCAACAGGGAAGATGAGTTTTGTTTTTGTTTCTTCCTGCTTCTAGGATGGTAGAGAGCAATCTACAGCCTGAGACCCATCACTAGGTAAGAAACTGGCTTGGGATTCTGTCTTGCAAATTCCTCTTAAATGACTAAAGTTAGCATTTAACAGCCAGCTGTTAATTTCTGCTTACACTTACAGTGCTCAGAAATCATATAACTTGTGTGATCATTGTTAGTGTAGCAGCATTTTGTCCTAGCTGAAATATGGTAATAAGATTAGAAAAATCTTTTTTTGGCCAGGTGCAGTGGCTCACGCCTGAATGTCAGCACTTTGGGAGGCCAAGGTAGGCGGATCACCTGAGGTCGGTAGTCTGGGAGTTCAAGACCAGCCTGGCCAACGTGGTGAAACCTGTCTCTACTAAAGAACACAAAAATTAGGCCGGGTGCGGTGGCTCATGCCTGTAATCCCAGCACTTTGGGAAGGCGAGGCAGGTGGATCATGAGGAGTTGGAGACCAGCCTGACCAACATGGTGAAACCTTATCTCTACTAAAAATACAAAAATTAGCCAGGTGTGGTGGCAGGTGCCTGTAATCCCAGCTACTTGGAGGCTGAGGCAGGAGAATTCCTTGAACCTGGGAGGCAGAGATTGCAGTGAGCCGAGATTGCACCGCTGCACTCCAGACTGGGTGACAGAGCAAGACTCTGTCTTGAAAAACAAAAACCAGAAATTATCCAGGTGTGGTGGTGGGCACCTGTAACCCCAGGTACTCAGGAGGCTGAGGAAGGAGAACCACTTAAACCTGGAAGGCAGACGTTGCAATGAACTGAGATCACACCACTGCCCTCTAGCCTGGGTGACAGAGTGAGACTCTGTCTATAAATAATAATAATAATAAGCTCCATGCAGTGGCTCTTACCTGTAATCCTGGCAGTTTGGGAGGCTGAGGTGGGCAAATCATTTGAGGTTAGGAGTTGGAAACCAGCCTGGCCAACTTGGCAAAACCCTGTCTCTACTAAAAATACAATTGGGCGGGTCAAGGTGGCTCGCGCCTGTAATTCCAGCACTTCAGGAGGCCAAGGTGAGTGGATCACCTGAGGTTGAGAGTTCGAGACTAGCCTGACCAACATGGAGAAACCCTGTCTCTACTAAAAATACAAAATTAGTAGGGCAGGGTGGCCCATGCCCTTAATCCCAGCTATTCGGGAGGCTGAAGCAGGAGAATTTTGAACCTGGGAGGTGGAGGTTGTGGTAAGCAAAACTCTGTCTCAAAAAAAAAACAAACCAAAATTAGGCTGGGCATGGTGGCTCACGCCTGTAATCCAAGCACTTTGGAGGCCAAGGCAGGCGGATCACCTGAGGTCAGGAGTTCAAGACCAGCCTGACCAACACAGTGAAACCCCGTCTTAAAAAAAATTAGGTGGGCATGATGGTATGCCCCTGTAATCCCAGTTACTTGGGAGGCTGAGGAAGGAGAATCGCCTGAACCTGGTAGGCAGAGGTTGCAGTCAGCTGAGATCATGCCACTGCACTCCAGCCTGGGCGATAGTCAGGCTCAAAATAAATAAATAAAAATTTAAAAATCAAAAAATAAATAAATAAATAAATAAATAAAAAGGAGGGGTGTTCAGAACAAATCAGAAAGTCTGACCATGTCACGAACAGCCAATGTAAGTCACGATAAGAGGACTTACATACATTTTTTAAAAACCCAGGCAAGGCGTGGTGGCTCAAGCCTGTAATCCCAGCACTTTGGGAGGCCGAGGCAGGTGGATCACGAGGTCAAGAGATCGAGACCATCCTGGTCAATATGGTGAAACCCTGTCTCTACTAAAAATAAAAAAATTAGCTGGGCATGGTGGCGCATGCCTGTAATCCCAGCTACTCAGGAGGCTGAGGCAGGAGAATTGCCTGAACCCAGGAGGTGGAGGTTGCGGTGGGCCGAGATCGCGCCCATACCCCATGCCCAGCTAATTTTTGTATTTTTAGTAGAGATGGGATTTCACCATGTTGACCAGGATGGTCTCAATCTCTTGACCTTGTGATCCACCCGCCTCGGCCTCCCAAAGTGCTGGGATTACAGGTGTGAGCCACCTCGCCTGGCAAATTATATCTTTTTCTAATCTAATTAATCCATTAATCCATTAGGTTCCCTAAAGTCCAAAAATAATGACAAATTTGACTTATTTGGTATAAAAATTATACAAGAAGCATTGTCAAATATGAAATGGTGTTTGGTTTTCTTTGGGCCATATTTGTATAAATATGCATTTGGTATGTGTTCCAAAATTATAGGAAACTCCTGTAATTCTGATATAACTTAGTTTACATTGTCAGTATTAATCATAATTATGTTAAAATTTTTTATTTTTAAATTTTTTTTATAGAGAGGATTTTACCGTGTTGGCCAGGATGGTCTCAATATCTTGACCTTGTGATCCGCCTGCCTCGGCCTCCCAAAGTGCTGGGATTACAGGCGTGAGCCACCGCGCCCGGCCTAATCCCCTGCCAACCTCCCACCACCAGATCTGAGGGAGGGCTGTGACCCTGATGAGAGGTGCATGTGGCTGGAGTCCACCGCCTTTGGGAGCAGGGAGTGGAGGAGACACACTTGTCTGTGGGACCAGCAGGGAAGATCAAACGTTTCTCCCTGGGTTGGCAAGGAGGATGGCACTGGCCCAGCTTCGGGAACAGGGGCAAGTGGTAGCAGCACAATAAGCCCCCTCCCTCACACAAGGTGAGGCCCAATTCCCTTGCAACCAATATGGAGAAAGCAAGGTCTTTGGTGTTGGGATGGAACGTGGGTCCCTCCACTCCCAGTGGCTCCTGCACCAGCAGAACAGTTCCAGAGTGGGCAGCTCTGGGCCCCCAGGTCTTGGTAAATACATCTTACTCAAGAAGCCCCCAGCAGAGGGTTTCAGAGACAGAATTGAGCTCAAACCCCATGGGAGATTCTGGACTCTCTCACATACTCTAGCCCAGGTACAAGTTCCAAGCAGAGAAGCAGTTGTTTTATATTTAATTTACAAAGGAGACCCCAAAATAATAATAAACTATCCAAGGCAAGAGAGTAAGGTCAGGTCCTCCCCAGCCCAGCTGTATCCTCCTTCCCCTCTGGCAGGGAGAGAAGGGGCCTCCCAGGGGACTTCCCCTCCCCCTTAGAACAGGGGGGTGTGAGCTGGTATAGATGCCCTTCTGGGCATCCTGCGGGCTCTGCCCACTCCAGACTCCAGTTTGTCCACCCCCTGCAAGCTCCTACATGCCTAAGAGAGCCCTTGTGGTAGAGGCCAGTCTGCTGAGCAGCTAGGCAGGAGACCCCTACAAGGTCCAGGAAAAGGCCAGGGCTGCCAGAGCCAGCAGACTGGTGAGGTGGGACCCAGCCCAGGCCTCACTGGCACCCCCAGCTGCCTGCCTATGGTCCCACTGGCATTGCTCACCACCCCAGCCCAAGTAGCACTGGCAGCGGAAGTGTGTCTGCAGGTGGTGACGGTCAGCCGAGCTGAGATTCCCCACAGGTCGCAGCTGGGGCTCACCAGGTGCACGGCCAGGCACTAGGCGGAAGCTGTTGGCGCTGAGATGCAGGAAGGTACTGGCACTGGGGTTGCGGCGCACACAGCGCCCATGGCCATGGCATTGGGCCCAGCTGCAATATTGGGTGGCCCAGGACACATTGACCACGTAGGGGACCAGCAGCCGTGTCAGGTAATCCTTGAGGTACTGGCAGGTCTCCTGGAGGCAGAAGCCAAGGACCATAGGTCAGAGTCAGCTATCTCAGCCCACAGGCCCAGATGGAAACTGTGTCCACACTGTGATGACCATACCTTATTTTAACTGCACACATTTGTGCATTCAATCTGTGCCTGAGACACACAGTCCCTCCTCCTGCCAAGAAGTGGGTGGGGGAAGAGACTGGAACCCAGTTGGGCAGATGGGGAAGGGTGGACTCAACAGCTGTTCAGGACAGCATTTCCTCTTTCCTGAGAGCAGGGCCGGGGTGACCTCCTTCTCTGCTGGGACGCAGGATGCCTCGGGTAGGAGACAGACAAGGGGACTGAACTAGGTTTGCCCATCTGAGATTGGTAGCCAAAGGCCCTAACTCTCTGCCTGTCCCATAGACTGAGCTCTGGCAGGCTGGGTCTCACTTACCGTGCTTGTAGTGTACCCTGCGTCACCCCAAAGGATAACACCAGCTGCGCCAAGGGCTGCACTCTCGCCAATGGTAGAGATGAGGTCCATCTATTCAAGAAAAGGGATGGTCATTGGGGAAGACTGAGACCACAGGGTGGCAGGCACAGACAGGGCAGTCAGGCACTAGCCTGTTTCAACCTGCTGACCTCCCAGCCCAACCCCCTTTCACCTCCAGGCAGAGGCTCATCTGTTTCACTTTCTTCTTAAATGTTTAAGTCCATTCCCACCCCACTTTTGGGCCTGTTTCCCAAGCCAAGGGCACACTCGAGCCTAGGGTGCAGCGATCAGGATGGACTCCAAAGTTAGAATGCCTGAGTCCCAGTCCCTGTTCTGCTCTGGGTTTGCTAGGAAGCTTTGGGCAAACTTCTCAGCATTTCTGTGCCTCAACTGTTCTCATCTGAAAAATGGGGATGACGTCAGCCTTTGAGTTTAGAGAGAAAATATTTGAGGGGATGTGGAGCAGCCAATAAACTATAGGTATGTATAGTCCTATAGTGGCCCCTGGCACCCCAAATGTGCAGTGGATCCTCAAGGAAGAAGGAAAAAGGCAGGGCCCTGGAGACATACCTCACTCAGCCCCCTGAGCCTGCGGCTATAGGTGGGCCGTGTGAAGACGTAGACTGGGAGTGCATGGTTGGCATGGTGGGTGTGAGCCACACGAAGGGCCTCCTGAACACGGAAGCTCACAAAGTTGCGGCCATGGGCAGAGGAAGCAAGTGTTTCCTCCAGGTAGACAGACGGGAAGAGGGCTGTGCTGTTAGCCCACAGCCAGGCCAGCTGGTCGTTGCGGGCCACTTCAACATCAGGGCAGCGGCCTGTGTAGCTCTTCCAGTTCTGCACATAATCATGATTGTAGCAGTCAGGAAAGAGGTAGAAGCCCCAGAGATGCCGGGGCCGCACTGCTTTGACATAACGCAGTGTCTCCAGCATGAACTGCCGTGCTGCACACTCAAACTCATATTGTGCCTGCTTGACTACGCGGTCTGCTTGCCAGTCAGGGTGACGACTGGCCACCAGCTGGCGTGATGACCGGCGGTACACATCTTTGTCCTGCCAGTTGCGCACCCACACAGGCCGCCAGTCTTCCCAGTCAATAACCGCCAGCCCCGCAGGCTCTGGTGTCCGAATGTAGTGCTCCACATGATCCCGCAGCATCTCCAGGTGTGCCCAGAGGCTGCCATTCTGTGGCACGCCACCATGCACAGATCTTCCTGCAGAATCGAAGCGTGGATACAGGCCTAGACGGTCGCGGTAGAAGATGGTGATATTCTGGTTCACAAAACCTTCATTAGGTGAGGCCTGCACATCAAAGGCATTCAGGTCCAATGGCACCTTGAGGCGTGGGCCACAGTCCTGTG